GCGTTCAGTAGCAGCCGTGGACGCCGGCAACAAAAGCGAGCTGCTTTTCATCACAGACTCGTCATCAGGAAGATGTTTCCTGGTGGACAGCGGATCGCAGGTCAGCCTACTTAAACGAACCGCAATGGACAAGGTGGCCGGTGGCTGCGGGCCGCCTCTGTGTGCAGCCAACGGCTCGCCCATCATCAGCTTTGGTTCCAGGTCGGTGACCGTGTGCTTCCATGGACGCAATTTCCAGTGGAACTTTGTCATTGCCTCTATCACAGTTCCGATCATCGGCGCGGATTTTCGGTGGGGGATTTTCTGTGTGCACATGGACTGCTCGTTGATGTCGCTAACCGCCGGTTGATTGACGCTGTGTTGTTCGCCACTTTTCCGTGTCAGGCTGGGGGACTCGGACCATTAACGCACGCGAATTATTTGGCATCGGGTGACGTTTATCAGCGTTTACTGACAGACTTCCCGTCGCTAACTACTCCCGCCTTTTCCAACGCCGATACTAAGCACGGGGTTGAGCATTTCATCCCCACTGTTGGCCCGCCGGTGTTGGCCCGCCGGTGTTTGCCCGCGCGCGTCGTCTCAACGCAGCTAAACTGGCAATTGCGAAAGGGGAATTTGCTACAATGGAGCATTTGGGAATCGTTAGGCGTTCAAACAGCCCGTGGCCCTCACCCTTACACATGGTGCCTAAAAGTGACGGTTCCTGGCAGCCTTGTGGTGACTTTGCCGGCTTAACAATGTTACCACGCATGACCGCTACCCCATTCCACACATTCAAGATTTTTCCGCGCATTTGGCGGGAGCCACCATTTTTTCCGAAGTGGATTTGGTCCGTGGTTATCACCAGGTGCCCGTGCAGGCGGATGATGTGCCCAAAACCGCAGTGGTAACCCCGTTCGGGCTTTTCGAATTCCTGCGCATTGCCTTTTGGGCTGAAGGGGGCTGCACAGACTTTTCAAAGATTGATGGACTATGTGTAGCGCGACCTCGATTTTGTGTTTGTCTATCTCGACGACATTCTGGTAGCAAGTCCTTCACCAGAGGAACACCTGTCGCACTTAACAACGGTTTTCAAATGTCTTGATTCACATGGCCTGATCGTTAACCCTGTGAAATGTCAATTTGGTCTGTCTGAGATTGATTTCTTGGGCCACCGCATTTCAGCACGGGGCGCTATCCCCTTGCCCACCAAAGTGCAGGCGGTGTTGGATTTCCCCTGCCCCGCTTCAGTTAAGGCACTGCAAGAGTTTTTGGGCATGGTTAATTTTTATAACCGGTTCCTTCCTCGCGCAGCCCACCTTCTGCAGCCACTTTACGGCGCCTTGAGGAAGAAGAAGGCTAATGATCCTATCAAGTGGTCTCCACAACGGGCAGAGGCTTTTCAACAAGCTAAGGACGCTCTCGCAAGTGCAGCCCTCCTGGTCCACCCGATTGCAACCGCGCAAGTGGCTTTAACTACGGATGCGTCGGATATTGCTGTTGGGGCGGTGGTTGAGAAGATGGTGAAGAATGTATGGCAGCCCCTTGCGTTTTTCAGTCGTAAGCTGCGGGATAACGAACGCAAGTATAGCGTTTTTGACAGAGAGTGGCTGGCACTCTATCTTGCGACGCGCCATTTTCGTTTCTTTCTGGAAGGATGCCCTTTCACCGCCTTTGTGGACCACAGGCCACTTACATTTGCAATGTCAAAGGTTACGGAACCGTGCTCAGTTTACGACTGCAAAACATACACTTTCCATTCATAAACTCTTAAAGTATCCGTTTTCGGTGTCTCGCGCTGCCGTGGCTGGCAAAACAAATGTGCGTGGACATGTGCAGCGCGCTTTTTGTGCGTGGACATGTGCAGTGCGCTTGTTGTTTTGTTTCTGGTTTATTTATAGAGCAACGTAACATCCGCTGTGACGTCTGCCGCATTAATCTCGCGAGAAAAAAAGTAATCCCGTAAAATTAATTTAAATTAATGCCAATAAAAACGCGCTAAACTGACAGCTCTAATATATATATATATATCCTTTTTCCAATTCGCTTAACCTCACAAGGGTCACGGTGCTGTAGCCTATCCCAGCCATCTTCGGGCAGTAGGCAGAGGACGCCCTGAACTGGTCCCAATCGCAGGGCACACAGAGACGAACAACGCTCACACTCTCACCAAGGGTCAATTTAGAGTGTTCCATTAATCTGCCATGCATGTTTTTGGAATGTGGGAGGAAACCGGAGTACCCGGAGAAAACCCATGCAGGCCTGGGGAGTACATGCAAATTGCGTACAGGGAGGCTGTGTGTGTGTGTGTATATATATATATATATATGTATATACATACATGGGTTTGCATGTTCCCCACATGCCTGTGTGGATTTTCTCCGTGTACTCTGATTTCCTCCATGCATGGCAGGTTAGCGGAACACTCTAAATTGTCCCTAGTTGTGAGTGTGAGTGCAGATGGTTGTTCGTCTCTGTTTCTTGCAATTGTCTGGCAACCAGTTCATTGTGTACTCTGCCTACTGCTCAAAGACTGCTGGGACAGGCTCCAGCACTCCAGCACGTTCAGGACCCTCATGAGGATTAGCGGCTCGGATAATGGATGGATACACATACACAGTACCTGAATATCACCAGGTTACAATTTTACTGTTCATGTCATTAAGCATCATTTCATCTTTTCAAAGTGATGCTACTGTACAAGGTCAATGTTGATAGACCTGTTCAAATAACCTAGACAAAACAAAACTTTTTTGTGGTCGTTTTTTTTTTGTTTTTAATATCAGACTCTCCCACGCTTGCCGTAAAAGTGTGAGACCATCTGGTTGGAGTTAAAAGACTACCACACCAGCAGCAAGTGGAGACTCTCTTCTGAAGCTACAAAGTGATTACTACATTAATGAACGTTTAAGGGACAACCCACAGACACTTAGCACCATGTTGGAACACTCACATCCTATTGACAAGACCAATTAGCGCTAATGTGTTGTGAGGGCACCTCCTGCTGTTCCCATAGCGCTCCTGGACTCATACATTCGCAGACATATGCAGAGCTTTTAAAATCAAACGAGTGAAAAATGACAGGCGCATTCTATCAAATGTCATTCAGGGACTCGGTTAAAAATAGTGTGATTTATTTATATGTAACATTCTGAGAAGACAGAGACATTAAAGCCATCCAACCATGCCAACAAAATCCCCAGACCCTTTTGTGGCATATTATTCAATATGTTTATTTTGACTGTCATGCACAAAGAATAGAATAGTTATAAATTCGTACTGACTCATTTATTTTCAAGTACATTTGTACACAAGCTGTTAAGACAGAGGTTGTTTTTCAATCTGCACAGTTCTGTGACAATGTTTGTAAACTGGGGGAATAAAGTGATGTGAATAGTTTAGCAACTTATTTTGTTTATTCAGATGTGCATCTTGTCAAAAGGACAATCGTGTAATGTATGCCTTATTGCTTGGGTGTAACTTGAGCAACTGGTGACCTTTGTATAAATACTTTGATACGTCTCAAGGAGGATTGGGAACTAAGAAAGCAACATTTAGAGTCTGAGAAGGACACTCCTGCAAAAAAAATCTTCTCCACTATGCCATGTAGACTTTCTTGCATTATCATTTGGATAATAGCGATTTCTGATGCATTACACTCTTTGGGTTTTCATTCAAATGCTCTCTTCCCTGTGACCGTCGGGCTGCTTTGATGAGTCAAATGATAGTACTGATTGACATCAGATTGCAGTGTTTTCAAAAGGAAGAAATCACAACGAACAATTTGGATAAACAAGGGTTTTTCTTTTGGCATGTTTAGCATGACTTTGAAGGCGATAATGAGCAAGCACATTTGTAATGTTTACGCTTTTTCTGAAAGCATAAAAAGAGTAAATCATCAAAAAGTGGAGCAACATACCCAAAAGATGGGATGATAGACTATTCGGGATACAGTATTCTTCATTTGTGTCTGGCATGCATACCACACCCTTTTCGGTTCATTCCTATGCCTGTGATAATTTGCTGTTCAGATGGGAAGAAAGCATCTTTCTCAATTTTACATGGTTGTTATCATAAAACAACAGAATAAAAATAAATTGTCCCAGTATACATGCACAGGAGGGGGAATTGAATTATGATTTTTACCTCTGATACTGTAAGAGGTATCGTTTCAGTCGGACTCATGTTATATACGCACATAAGGAGACGTTTTTTGAGTCGGACTAACTGAATAAAGATTTGTTACCCAAATGCCATGTAAATGTAGTCAATATTCCTAACAGGACATGAGGAACCAACCTATGTTAACAGCAATAGATTCCAATGCCCCAGTGGCCCTGGATTGGTTGGTGTGTATATAAAATAGAGGGAAGGAACCCACTACACCACCCAAAATAGAATCAGTTCAATGAAAAAACAACACAAACAAACAAATTAAGAACTTTGATGCGTACTGTTTTTTTTTTTTTTTTTCAGATAAGGCCAAAGAATGGGAAACCTACCTGGCGGACACAAGCAGCTGTAAGAAGCCTCCCTCACTTCTCGCGTCTTTGGTAATCGAGCTGCCAATTTCTGCATGTGGGGAGAAACAAAAAGAATGAATGAATGTTAAAGCTAAAATCTACAACCCAAATGGCAAGACTTTTATAGTAACTGAGAACACCAATGAATTCGACCTATGCTTTGCTCTCTATTAAAGGCTGTGAATCGATAAAGCCCGTGATGGGGTGGTATAGCAGTTTTACAGTTCATCATCGTCATCAAACATTTAAACCTCAAAAGTGTGTGTGTGTGTGTGTGTGTGTGTGTGTGTGTGTATTTTATACATACACATATATACTGTATATATATATATATATATATAAAATGGGCTACTGGAACAAAGCGGAGATGGGCGAGATGCGATAAATGGCTCTGTTGGAATGCTACTACTCAAGCAACCCTAGTCAGAGGGGTTACATGCAGAGAATGCAGGCTCAATGGTTACTTCGAAACCCACAGTCACGGTTGACCACGAAACAACTAGTAGCTCAGTGTTCCAACATCCACAAACGGCAATTGCTGTCACAACTTGAGATTGACGAGGTACAACGCAGGGTCCACGGTGAAGGGCCCCAGGCTGCCAGATCAGAGGAGGAGGTGATACCAGAGATTGGGAGGCAAGCCCCAATGAATGATGATGATGAGATTGGGAGGCCAGCCCCAATGAATGAAATGCTGAGAAAGGCAGCAACTGACCTGAAAGCTAAGATCATGGCGAGAATGAAAGCTGGGCAACCTAGAAACCGATTACAACGACTATGTGAAGTACCACCTGAAAGTCTCATGGAAAGTGTGAATGCAGCACTGTGGGCGATCCCAACCATAACGATTGATGAAAAGGCCGATACCTGAGAGGTACATCCAGATGACCATACCTGAAGCACTCGAAACTGCCAAACAAAGGCTCCAAGCCTTGTCCAGTCGCCTAAAGAGGGACACGAAAGAGAATGAGGCCAGACGAATAACCAGGCTGTTCGCAACACAACCTGCGAAAGTGTACGCTCAGTGGCAGGGTCCTAACAGCAGAGCTGACCCACCAAGACTGGAAACTGAAAGGTACTGGAAAGGCATATGGGAGAAGGAGGTTGCACATAACAGCAGTGCACAATGGCTGGTGACCCTGAGAGAGGAGCACAGCAACCTCCCTGAACAGAACCCCGTTACCATAACAGTGGCTGACATACAAGAAAGAGTCTCAGATATGAAGAAATGGACAGCACCAGGGTCGAACATGGTCCACACCTACTGGCTAAAGAAACTCACAGCACTCCATGAGCGCCTAGCAACACAAATGAACCAGTTGCTGAGGGATGGGACTCACCCAGGATGGCTAACCGAAGGGCGTACGATCCTGATCATGAAGGATCCCTCAAAGGGTGCAGTCCCATCCAACTATCAGCCAATAACCTGTCTCTCCACAACATGGAAGCTCATGTCAGGCATCATTGCGGCTAAGATAAGTGGACACATGGATCAATACATGAGCGAAGCACAGAAGGGCATTGGTAGAGATACCAGAGGAGCCAAACATCAGCTCCTGGTTGACAGAACAGTCGCACAAGACTGCAGGTCCCAACATACCAACCTGTGCACAGCCTAGATTGATTACAAGAAACCCTATGACTCGATGCCACATACATGGATCACTGAATGCTTGGAGTTGTATAAGGTGAACAGGACCCTAAGAGCCTTCGTTGCAAACTCGATGAGGATGTGGAAAACCACACTTGAAGCCAATGGCAAGCCACTTACCCAAGTGTCCATCAAATGTGGCATATACCAAGGTGATGCACTCTCCCCACTGCTGTTCTGCATAGGACTGAACCCCCTAAGCCAAGTAATCACCAAGACAGGCTATGGATACCGCCTCAGAAATGGAGCTACGATCAGTCACCTCCTCTACATGGATGA